AATCGATCATTCCAAAATAATCGCCCAATCGAAAATAACCAATTAATTAAGAAGCCGATTCTATGATAAATCGATTATTATCAATAATCTATTTTATTGTATTTCCTTAAAATCGATAATTCGATTATCTTTGAAATACCGAAAATAATCGATAATTCCAAAATAATCGCCTAATCTAAAATAACCAATTAATTAAGAAGCCGATTCTATGATAAATCGATTTTCCAAAAAATAAAACGAATTATCGATTATTTTCTAATAATCCTTTTATTAATATTTCCTTTAAAATTAATTATTCGATTATCGAAAATAATCGATTATTAAAAAGCTAACTAACCAATAAATCGATAATTTTATAAAATAACCAAAATATCGGTTATATAAAATAACCGATTATATTCAATCGAATAATGAAAAAACCGATTGAACGAAAATCGATTATTTTGAATAAATCTACTTTTTTTTGTATTTCCTTTAAAATCGATTAATACATTATCTTAAAAAAACAAAAATAATTTATTAAAAACAGCGGATAAATCGATTTTCATAAAAAAATATCAGAATTATCGATAAATCGATTATTTTTGTAACCCCTATCGGTCGTTTGCTTTTATCCGAGCGTTTAGCTCAAAAATTTAGAGATTCGAATTTTTTGATCCTGTTATCTTTGAAACCGCATTCGATTGTATAATAAATAATAAATATTGCTAAATTTTGGATTTTTTTAGTAAACGAAAATTTTGTTCGAGTTGTTTAGGGGTTTGTAATGTAACATTGTATTAATGTGACCAACTCCCGTAACTTTAGTATTTTTTTTGCTTATACTAGATCATATGGTGCGTTTTACTTTGTTTTAAGACTGAAGAATCAAATGTCACTTTCGATTTGACCGCAAATAAGATGAACCTTGTAATTTTAAGTAGGTCATCCTGTATTTCATCTAATATTCTTATAAAAATACCTTATAAAAATAAAATTTAGCTAGCAACTATGATTCTTTACTTCTTATTTATCTACCAAAAAGGGCTTAAAATCACCTTTAAAAAACATTCTTAGAAAACTACTTTTTAAATACAAAATTTCGTTAGCAACAATGCCTATTTACTTTTTATTTAAATTAAATGTTCAAAATTTTATCTTTTTGTAAATTTATGTAAGTAATATGAAATATGATTTCGGATGCTTAATATTTATTGAAACCTCTTAATGCGGATCTGAAGTATTCAGCCCAGAGAATCATGGCGCTTTATGTCAAAACGTTAATAAATATTTACCGCTGAAAACGAATATGTTCATTACATTAGTACTTGTATTATAAGTACATTACATTTTTTCAAGATACATCGTGGCATTTTGAACTTGAAATTGATTAACTAGAGCACTTTAAATTGCTAAAATACCAACAAATAAATAAAAAAACAGCTGTCAATGGTGATTAAACCCAGGTGGAGGTGATCGATGAATGGAAAAATCGGAGCAATTCGGGTGGCGTCGTGCAAACAATGATTTTCAATTGGTGGGTTACTTTGGGTTAAAATAGACAACATGCGCAGTGTGCAATGTTACATCTTCGGTCTCTTTAATCTAAGGGGGGCACCAAAGGCTTTCTTATAGTCCAAGTAAATTATATCTACAGGTTATTGGTTATTACCTTGCGAGGTTGACCACTGATTTACAGCTCTGAGGATATATTTTTTAACATACTATTTATCCCATTATTTTACAGATGCAACTAAGGAGGCTTCCTGAGTGATAATTGATTGCATTGTTTGTTGCCTTTTTTGTAAATGGGTGTAATAATGGCATGCTTCCAATCCTGGGGTAATATATGCTCGTTCATGGATTTTTTCATTAAGTTTGTTATACTGCTAATACAAGTTGCACAGTTTTTTTAGGAATATTGAAGGTATTTGATTAATGTCTGACTCTGATTAAATTGTTCAGCTACTTCTCTTGAGTTTTCTATCGAGGTGTTTAATATTGGATCCTTTGAGGTTATTTGTGTGCAATTTGAGCTTAGTGTTCTTTAATATACCTATAAAAATTTTTGTCTCCGTTAGTTAATAGACTATGTTTATATGTTTTTTTGGCATTGACCAATATATGTTTATGGTTATTGTTATGTGTTCTATATGTATCTAATTTGCCTTATCTCTAGTGGATCTGTATTTGTTCTACAATCTTCGTTTTTTTATTAATTTTAGCAAGGGCTTTTCAGGATTCTTTCTTACCAGTTTTAGATGTATGCATTCATCTATTACATTATTAATTAGATCCATCCACTTTTCATATGTTATATCCTCTGCTAGTTGTAAATGGTTACTCTTTTGAGAAATTTCTTTGTTGATCGCTTGATAATTCGCTATCCAATCTTTTGCACTTTGTGAGTAATGTCAGTTTTAAGATTTAACTGAATGATTGCTGTAATGACTATGTGGTCGTTTAAGCCCACGGGGGTCGGATTCCATGTAAATAGTTGGTAACAAGTTTGCTTGACCTCGACAGTAGCGCGCTAAGCGCTTACGGTTGAACTATACCTGTCAGTTTCAATCGATAAAGTAGAACACTACTAATTAAAGCGATTTAAAAATTGGCGGGCTTGATAATTTAGATATTTGAAGCAATTTGAAGTAACATTTTCCTATTTGACAACTTTTGCTTACAACTACTAAACAAACAATAAGTTTAGTGAATTTTCGTTGTAGGTAAATGTTGAAAAATGGTAAATGTCACTTGTTTTAACTGAAAAATAAAATTAGTTGAAAAATAAAACACATTTTTAACAAGTTTAATTTATTTAGAATTACCATATAATTACATGTGTCTTATTATCTTCTAACTGCATATTTTGAACATAACAAGCACTATATCACACTAAATTACTGAAAAATAGAAATATAATATGATAACTGGCATAGCACATGACGATGTTTTTATTATTAAAAAAACCGGATATAGTTTTTATAAAAAGTCAAAGTAGTTAATTTATAAACACAATTGTTTTAATGTTTTAAATATCCCTTATTAATCCAACGACAAATCATTCTAATTCTAATATTCTTATACTTATTGTCCTTTAAGGCCTTTTCCCATCTATTTCAATCTAGAATAGTTGTAATGCCTATTTCGGGTACAATAAGCCTCCAGCTTCAATACAGGTGGGCTTTGAAACTCACCCTAATTAAGAAACACATTTATGTACCTTCCAAAAATCTCCATACCAAGGAAGATATTAGATATAAAACAAAACAAAAATAAAGGTGCAGTGTGTATTTTAAAATTAAAAATTAACAGGAGTCGTAACTTTTTTAAATTCTTACATTTTTCTTGCAATAAAAGGTATAAAAATAGAAAACATCTGATTTATGATCTTAATAGGTGAACTATGCAAAAATTAACAAGTTGACCTAAATAGCATATAAGTTTTTGAACATATTTGGGTATTATTTGATAAATATAATAATTAATATCACCCAAAACTTGAACAATAACTTTTTGAGTACAAATCATTCGCCTCTTTTCATCATGGTCTTTATGGGTAAAACTAGGATGAGGTTCGATAGAGGGATATCCGGTTCTACAATATTTGTTTGTAAATTGGCTTCACACATTTCGCTCACAACTCCTTTCATTTTTTTGACCACAAATGTTTAAAATGTGGATCCATTAATCTCTAGAGTAATAAAAGCAGGAAAAACATAAAATTTCTTGTTAGTTTTGTGAGAAAAATACTTCTGCAATTAAAATTTAAATGAATCAGAAGTTAATGGTTTTCTTAAGAACCTCCCTATAGTTAAATTAGTTAAATCTAACTTATACTTAATTAAAACAATTTACTCACCTACATTTGAAAAAAATATCACCTGCATTTAAAAATGAAAATAATATCCAGGCTGACATATTTATAGCAACATAACCTAATTTATTTTCAAAGCCAGATTTACACCATCTAATAATATTTAAATTTAGCTTTAACTTTAACTTTAAATTTATTAACGATTATCCCTGTATTTGATCACACACTATATTAAAGTGAAATTTAAATGGGTAAATCAGTAAAATTATTGATTTCTTTGTCATTATTTTTGAAAACATATTTTTTTATGGGTGTAAAATGGGTTTGAATTTAGTGATAGCAGCGCGCTAAGCGCTTACGGTTCAACTACCAACAAGGAAACAAATCCCGCCATTTATTCAAACCTTCTCTTTTTATTTTTCTATGTTTAAGCCTATTGGAGGTTCTGATTTTATTGAGGCGACTAGCTCTTTATCATTAACCAGCAGCAGATCAATCAAAGAGTTCTGTTTATTGCGTATTCTTCTTCTTGTTTTTTCATTGTTTTAAAGTGTTAGTGTTCTCTAATCAATTTCACTATAGTTAAAATCACCCAGTAGGATTGCATTTCTCTTCTCTTATGATTCAGACATAATTATTTAAAAAAGCAAGAAAAGTAAAAAAGGAAAAAAAAATGATTTTTGCATTTTTTAATTCTTTTTTAATAATTTTTACAAACAAATATTTTTAATGTTTAAAATAAACTATTTCGATGGGAAATCGCATTCTCTACAAAAAATTTCTAATAACTATACCTGAATTTTGCTTCGTTTTCGAGAATAATTAAAAAACTTCAAGGGTTGCATTTTTACTCCTATTTTCAATAACACTCCACGCTTTTTTTTTTTCATCTTTAATGACCATTTGAATGGTTCATGTCATAAAAATCCACGAAGGTGATTGTTCCTTATTGCCACTTTTTTTTTGGATATCAATAGCTTAATTGCAAAACCTAATAACATTGTGCATAACTTAATAAAAAACAAAAAACCTTGAACGAGTTTTGTCTATTTTTGAAAACAAACGTACCATAGAGGGGAAATAGAAACTAGTTTTGTTTTATCGAATATTTCAGAAACTCGTCCTAATATTTTGGTTTTTAAAAAGTCCTCAGATTGGGCTTTAAAATATACAACTTTTTCTCAATACGAAATGTTATTTTAAGGTACTGCCCAGAATGTAAAGTAGACGACAATGAAATTGTGAAAAAAGGTGAAGTAAAACTGACAAAAAAACAAATCAACATGCCGAACAAGAAAAGTACATCAACGCGTGATTGGGGACAGGGCATGGCATGTGCTGGTAGAAGCAAAATCTGCACCATTGTACCCAAAAACCATTTCGGACCGATTCCGAATATTGATGTGGGAACACGTTGGTTGTACAGAATACAGGTAATATTTATAATAATAATATCTTAATTTTAATTAATTTAGTAATTATTGTTAATCGAATATATTTAATTGTAACAGGTATCGGAAGCAGGAGTTCATCGCCCAGCTGTGAGTGGTATCCATGGTGTAGCAAATGACGGAGCTTATTCCATTGTTATTAGCTCTGGGTACGAAGATGATATAGACGAAGGCGATGAATTTATTTATACTGGCAGTGGCGGAAGGGATTTGTCTGGCAATAAACGTGTTAATGTTCAGAGTTGTGATCAAGAACTAACCAATTGTAATAAGTAAGTCTCTTAAGGTTCCATTAATTAATTAACACAGTGTCTAGGTACACGCTAACTTGTACGCAATTCAAAAAGTTAATATGCACGCGAAACGTCTTGACAGAGTAGGTGAGCTGTATGCGGGCCGTTGATGTTTACGCCGGTCGGCGTAGCTAGGTATGGATTGAAATTGAAATTACGAAAAGTCTGCTTCATTTTCTTTTTGTTACGGCATTATTATTATTTGTTCATGTATGTGAAATTTGCTTCTAAGGTTTATAAAATACTACTGCTAGTCACGGCGTAAATGAAAACAAACAAGACGCATTCACACAAACACCTCCCACCACAGCAATATGACGTTTCGCGTGTATATAATTTTTTGATTTGTGTACACTTTAGCGTGTACCTAGCAACAGCGATTAATTAATAAAGAAATACAAAATGACACATCTAGACCTAGAGTAAATTGATTCTCATCAAACTTAATATAATCTGGCATTTTCCAGTCATATTAAATAATGATGTTGTTATTATGAAGACACTCAATTAATTCTAGCCTTTCACAGAAATTATTAATTTCCTTTGGCGGAATATACACTATAATAACATAAAATAAGACATATTTAAAGTACATTTTAACTACTATTACATCAATACAATTGAATGTGTTGCGATCATTATTTAGATCAATTTCTGAGGCTATGCCATTATTTCTTATTCCTAGAAGGACACCTCCTCCTGTTCTTTTTTCCGTTGCATCTTAATTTTTGTCTCTTCTAAATACTACATAGTTATCGGGAAATAACTCTGCACTATTAATATTATTCTGTGTCCAGGTTTCCCTAATGGTAATCAGTTGATATTTTAAGGAGCTACAGGATTTAAGGAAGTTGTGTGTTTTTGTGTTATGTTATGTTGAGAATAGGGTGTTAATACACTGCGACCTAAAAGATCTATTGTGCCAATGCACTAAGGAAATGTCTCAATGCCTATAACGACCCTTCCAATCCTATTTTCTTAAGGAAGTGTAGGATTTGAAGTGGCTTCAAGTTAGGTAAATCTCCCTCTTCTATTTGATATCCTTATAGATATAGTGCCCTGGAGTGCTACACATTCAGTTAGGATGTGAATGGAGGTTTCGTCCTCCTCGCAGAATCTGCACTCACTATCCTCTACTATTCTCAGTTTACTTAGGTGTCCTTTTAGTTGGAAATACCCGGTAAGGATCCCTGTTACAATACTTATGCCTGTTCTTGCTCAGGCAGATGCAGGCTTCTGATATTTTCTGGTTATTTTCACCCAGAAGTATCTTGGCCTGTCTCAGCCCCAAGAGATTGTTCCACTTATCGGTTCTTCTACTGCCCAATTCTTTTTTAATCTCTCCTTATATTAAGTTTCTGCTGATACCACAGAACGGCTCAGGTCCTACAAAGAGTGTTTGAGTCCCTTTCATTGCAAGACTATCTGCATTCTCGTTACCCTGTACCCCTTTATGTCCCGGGACCCCAGTGAGAGCAACTCTATTTTTCTCGCCTAGCTCATTCAATTGTTCTAGGCATCTCCAGACTATTTTTGAACTGATTACGTAAGAGCTCAGCGTTTTGATGATAATCTCTTGTCTGTGATAGTTTCTTCCGATGTTAAACTGGATACACTTCTCGATGGTGTGAATTTCCGCCTGGAAGATGCTTGAGTATTTTCCCAAGCTTTCGGAGTGCTTGGTTCTCGGCCCATACACTCTTATTCCAGTTCCTTCTATGGTTTTGGAACCGTCCGTATACCACTGAATAGCAAGTCTTTCGATTGCAAGCGCGATGGATTCTTGGCTCCATTCTTTCTTGCAGCCCAGCTCTGTGGTTTTGAAGTTTTTCACAAAACTGTACTTCTTTAGCATTTCATCCTGGGGCATGTCCCAGGTATCTTTAGTCCTGAAGCAAGTAGACTTTCGTCTGATTACTCCATTCCTGATCATTCTATACCATGTCCTTTTTGCCATATTCTCTATCATCAAATGTAAGAGGGGTGAGGTTTAAGATCACCTCCATTGCGGCCGTAGGACAGGGTTTCATTGCACCAGTAATACAAACACAGGCTATTTTATGGAGTACTTCCCTTTTATAATACATTGTAAGTCAGTTTTGAGGGTGTTATGGTTGTCCGTTTTCCCCTCAATGACTATCGGGGACATTGACGACTTTTTGGGGACGGTTGTATTGGTTTTATTGCCGTTGCTCACCTTGTTTGACCTCTGGGCTTCTGTCTCTCTCGGTTTACTAGTTGTGGGTTTTTGTGCATCGGGTTTTTTAGATGGGATCGACGCTTCGTCGTCGGAGTCGGTGTCTGTTAATACGTGATACTTATTTTGAAGTTTAATTGATCTTACCACCTTTTCACGCATAACTTTTACAAAGTTTGTAGCAAATTTCTTTGGCGTTTTAAAACCACCTTCTGCCGCGTTGGTTTCCATTTTCTCAGGCTCACCGTTGTTTATTTCTATGATTGTCGGCCTTTCTAATGTTCTTTTACGTTTAGGAGGCTGTTCTGGCGTAGTTTTTGCGATCGCGCCCGTGGACCCCGTCGGTTTCTGTCCTGTGAACATGCGAACTTGATCACTTATCGAACTATTTCCCGTCTGCTTTGTTTTTAAAGTCTCGTCCTCGCTTGACGTTGTATTTTGCGCGTCCGTCCTAAAGTTTAGTATTCTCGTTGTTACCGAGGCTGGTAACGGTAGGGTATTATATCCCGAAACAAAGCTTGGGAATACATTTCCCGATGCTTGGGCATGTATGTTAGTGTTCTCCGTACTTTCGGTACGGTTCTTCGAACTTTCGGCACTTTTCTCCGAACTTTTGGGAATATTCTCCATACTGTTTTCGATTTTCTCCGAACTTTTTGAGTCTGATTGTTTCTCTACACTTTCATTAGCTAGTTCATAAAGTATTTTCTCCGCGTCGACTGCACTTTGTATAATTACATTGTCTATTGTCTGTTCCGCGATCCCGGTTATATATTTGTCTTTATCTGTTGCGCTACCGAATTCACCGATATTCACTAGAGTGTTATTTAAAGGCGAGTTCTCCGCACTTTCAAAATTGCCGTTATTTTCATCACTATCCGGTGAGTCGATCGGGCTCGATGTGTTGGCGATATTATCTGTTTGATTTTTCGAAAGTATGTGGAATACTGATGTATTCTTTTTGAATTCTTCACCATTCTCCATACTTTTATTTTCTGTTGATTTTTGGTCTTGAGGTGGATCTCTTGCTCTGCTAGAGTGTCTGGTGCGGTTGGTATGATGGGGCTTTTCTGGTTCTGACTTATTGTCAAGATCTATGTCGGTGGAAATTTTCTCTAGACTTTTTTTACGAGAACGATTTTCTGTGGAGTCTTTTCTATTTCTAGATCTGGATTTGCTGTCACTGAGTCTAGGGTTGGGTGTACTCACGTGACGGTAGGGGTGGTTATGTCCGCTATCCCTCCGGGGGCTGTGTTGGGGTGGTTTTTTCGTATCCAGTGTTGGTGATTGTAGTAATAGCTTGTCTATTCTATCTTTATTTCTTCTTGATAATAGTGAGTTAATAAAGTTAGGATCATCCTGGTTACTGGTGGTAGGGGTGGTTGTGGCTACCCTTTCGGGTTCCGCCATAGGCGGTTGTAACGAACTACCGTGCGGTATTCTACTATACCTGGCGTGAATTGAAAACAACAACAATGACTTTTTAAACTTTGAGGTTAGAAACCTGGTTGCCCGATACCGAACACTGCTACTTGTCTTGCACAGAAACCGGTGTTGCTTGTTTGAAGGCAAAAAGCGAACTGGGATCCAATACATATTTAGTGCAACAAATATGTATTCCTGAGTATTTTTTAGAGCGTTAGCCATGAACTGTAATACACCGTTCAATAAAGAAGGAGGTGTGGCGAAGAATTGGCGGAATGGCAAACCAGTCAGAGTTGTTAGAAACCACAAGGCCAAAAAACATTCGAAATATGCCCCTGAAGAAGGTAACCGATATGACGGAATTTACAAAGTGGTGAAGTATTATCCAGAACGAGGAAAATCTGGTTTTATTGTGTGGAAATATTTGCTGAGAAGAGATGATCCGACACCAGCGCCGTGGGACAAAAATGGAGTAGAGTTAGATATAATCGTAAGTTACAGATTTTTTTCTTAGTTAAATGGCACAGGTATGAAACCAACTGGCCAAAGCTTCGTTAATAATTAAACCGACTTTAAGGACTGTAGTTATATAACCATGGACATTTTCATCTGCAGTTATTCTTGAGCTATTATTTAAATTGACCTGTTTTTTAGATACATATATATTTTTCTTTTGATGATTTTATTTTTATTTTATTAATGATTTTTTTTTTATTTCATAAATATATATGTATATATTTTTTTTTTGACACAAGACAATATATTAACCATATTTTGTCCAGAGGACCTCCAGGGCGGGATTAGACTTGCACAGGTGTTAATCCTCAGTTGATTAAATAGAGGGGAGGGAGACAATGTATAAAGGTGGTATTCTATTATAGCTTAATATTAGCTTTGATTATGTATTGATATGATGGTAAATAAGATCTACTGTTGCTCATTAGACAAGGCAGATTTACTGGAAAAGTTGTATATTTCTTAAAATTTAGGTAAAGGTTACTAATTTCTTGATTGTTAATAAGGCATTGAAGAATGATGTGTTCCAGATTTCCTTGTTCTTTGCAGGAGCAGTTTGGATCGTTTGTTAGTCCAAACCTGTGAAGGTATTCAGGTATAGTGAGTGGTTACTCCTCAATCTACATAATACTCGGACGAAATTATTTGAATGATGATTCTTGAACCGTACCTGTTTTGCGATTTTGGGTTGTAATATTTTATAGTTTTAACCAGTAGAGGTTTATTCGTATTGTGATTGCCACTCTTCTATAATTTTCAATTTACTTGGGTGAAAGATATCTTAGACTGGGATTTTGAAGTTTTCTATGCTTTTATCCACACCAAAGATAATTCCTTGTTTATAGATTGCATTTGTTTATAATGAGAGGATGTCCACTAGCAGGTAATTATTTATTGAATTGATTGTCATAGATTTTATTTTCTCTAGTGAGCTCCGACTATCTGTGAAGATTATAAATTTAGTTTTATCTATAGTTAAACAAAACCTGACGGCTTCTCTAATGGCGGTTAGTTCTGCAGAGTAGATGGAAGTATATTCCTTCAGTTTAAACATCTTATTAGTATTAGAATTTTTGTGGTAGAAGGCACACCCTACTTTATTTTTTTTTTTTTAGTGATCTATCAGTAAAAATTTGATCGTAACTTTCCACCTTTCGTCTAGCTGTTTTTCTATAATGTCCACTTGTTTAGCATAGTTTATTTCTTTGGGGTAATCTTCAATTATTATTTTTGGGGTAATCTTCAATTATTATTTTTGGGGTTTTATCGAATATTTCATACTTTGATAAGTATTTTGGAAAATTTTTAGCTTGATGGATATGAGTAAAAAAGTTTCTAGTCTTCTCGTATGCTTCTATTAGGTTAGATACTATTTTGTGAATCCAATATTTGTGGTGGTTACATAAGGCTGATAGATTCGATATTTTATTTACTAGCTCGCTGTCTTTAGCTGCCAGTTTCAGAATATACTTTTCCCCTAATTGTTTTCTTCTAAGTTTTTTTTGTATGTCATTGGCTTCAACTGCTAAGGTTATTTCGCCTCGTGGACTGTGTAGACTTCGTTACTGTTTCCCAGTGCCACTTTAGGAACAGCACTGTTAATTAGAAGCCAACAGAGAATGGTCGAGTGGGGAATCCTACCAAGGCATCAGAATTAATTTTAAATAATTAAATTAAATGAAAAAATCCCGGCCAATGGTGGGATTCGAATCTGAGACCGTTATGTCCGCAGGCAAATGACATTTCTTTGAATTCCGTTTGCATTATATTTATTGGAGTCCTTTTAAGATATCCACGACACACTTTAATGCATTTATTTAAAATTTTTTCAATTTTATTTGTTTCTGTTCTGGTTGCACTGTGATACAGAACTGATCCGTAGTCTAGTATAGATCTTATTAAGCTTCTATAAAACAATATGGCTATATTGGGGTCAGCGCTCCATTTTTAGCTGCAAACGGCCCTTAAGATGTTTACTGTATTATCCGCTTTTCCACTGAGAATATGATTTTTTTCATACACCGTTGTAAAGAGGCTTCCAAAACCTTACAAATTAAGTATCACAACCCCTCTTCCCTATTCAATTTTGAGGGGTTGAAGCGCCTAACCAATGCTAATAAAGTTTTCAACATTCGTGGTCTGAGATACGAGGTTTTATTTTGTTAAATAAATAATTAACGGGTAAAGATTTTAATTTAAAATTTTACATAGTTATTTAAAAACATATTCTGAAGATTAATTCGGGTTTAACTCAAAACCCCCAAAAATCGAGTTACGTGGTTGTGTCAGAGTACCCTCGATATCATGGAATAGTGTATCTGATCAATGCCTGGTGCCATATTGTTATTTGCTTTTAAGGCATTTGTAGTTCGTTAAATGTAAATGGTCTAATTAAGAATATGTCTTCTTTAACATTTTCCCTTGAATCATTTTCAATGTCTGTCAGGGGTGGTTTTTGGGATACCCAGTGTGGTGTTAGTTTGCTGAGATAGTCGTTTACCCATGGTACTTCCGGGCCTATATGGTTTGATAGTTTTCTTGTCCTTTTCCTCTAAATTTATTTAATTTGTTCCCTACTTCCTTCATAGGAATATTATGACTAAGGGAACTGCAGTAGTATTTTTTCCAGGACTTTCTTTTTGATTTTTTCGTTATTTTAACATAGGCATCTTTTTGTTTAAATTGAATTAAATTCTCTAGATTAGGATTTTGTTTACATTGAGAGTATGCTTGTTTTCTTTCATTTACAGCTATCTAACATTTTTCATTCCACCAGGGTTTGCCTTTCGATTTAAAGTTTTTTTGTATTGTTTTAAGGGATGACTGATGCTGCAATGGTGTTGATATTATTTATTACTTCTTCATATGAACCGTTATCTTTAAGAATGTCCTGCGAATGTTGTTGAGCTTTCATCATAGTATTTTCTCCAATTGGCTTTACTTATTTTCCATTTCTCGATGTTACTGCTAGGAAAGGTTATTGGTTTAATGGAACAGTTAATAATGATGGGTAGATGGTTGGATCCACACGGATCTTCGAAAGTTTTCCAGTCAAACAGATGTGATATTTCGGAACTGTACAAAGTAATGTCGACATCACTGTTGCGGAATTCTAGGTCGTATTGTATTAAAGTCGGAGTTCCATCATTTAGGTATACCAGATTTTTATCCTCTATAGATTCCAGTAAATTATTTCCATATCTGTCATTCCAATCGCAACCCCAAGCATAGTTGTGAACATTAACGTCGCCTCCAATTAAAAATGGTTCCGGTATCAAGGAAAAAAGGAGTTTCATACTTTAGCCTCTATTCTTGTGGTCGGTTTTATATATAAGGACACAAAAATAATTTGTGTATAATTAAAAACTATAGTTAAACATTTATTTGGAATGTCGGGAAAAACAGGTAAATTTATTTTTTTTTATTTTTATATTGGCTTTAACTAATATTGCTTTCTGTCAGCATGGTCAAGGTGGAAAATATTGTATGTAGGGAAGTTATAATAAAATCCTGGTTTAAACTAGGTCTCAGAGAGCAGAGCTACATCTGTACATTCCTTAAAAAGTAGGTTTTCTAGATTTTGTTTATTGGAAACTGCAAATCTGCAATTTCATTGGCAAATTTTTAAAAATGCCATTTAACTAATATCTGATGAGGAGGAAAGTTCGTTTTGTAAATTTGTTTTTAAGATAGCTAGTAAGTCGAGTTCTTGTATATCAAATATATATATATTATTTTTTTTAAGGCTTTTAATGACTGAGTGGATAATTTCAATGACTAGGGAGGTGTTCATTATTTTTTTTTAGACTAGTATCTGGATTTTTGAAGATCCTGAGCTAACATTGGAAATATATCTAGGTGAAATGATAATGCCACCAGTAGGAGGAAGATTAAAAGGGGATATATTTTTATGAGCTTCTAGGGTTGGATTAGGGGAACTAACTCTAACACGTTTAGTACTTATATTAGTGACCTGTGTGTAATATGGAGATTTTCTTATAATAAATTGGTTATTATTTGATGAGACAGCCATCCCATATGTCTGTTTGGGTGCTTTGTCGCAAGCATATTTATAAGATACGTTTGTTTGTGCCATCAGCTTTTTACTTTGTTTTTGTCGTTTACATTCAGGACACTCATTACAATGGAAGCATTTGGGGTTTATTGTTTCTGAGCAATTTTTGGTTGAATGATTTCCACTACACTTTAGACATCTTTCTGCGCCTTTACAATGCTTGCCCAAATGTCCGTATGTAAAACAGTTGTAACACAACAACACTTTTTCTATATATGCTTCTATATTAAAAATTACATGAATAATCTCTATATAATTTGGGAGGGTTTGAGATTTAAAAGTAACTAATATAGTCTTTGTGGGCACATAACTATCTACTTGGTTTTGTGTAGTAACTTTCCTAGACAATCTTTTCGCTTAATCAAACGAAAATTTACAGTGCATATCATGTTCTCTAATACTTTCTTTCTTTAATAAAATCATCGGACTAATCTAAATCTACGTTTCGTATGATTATGATTTAAATTTTGTTGGCCTAATTTTGATGGAAGTGGTCAATGTATTTGCACTTTTTGTTTCATTGCAGTTAACCCTAATTTTTTTCCTACCAATAGAATCAATTGCTTTTATAAATTTATTTCCGGATGACAATTAAAAATAATTTTCCCGATTTTCATAGTGCTAAGTTTTCTATTAAAATTTTCGGAGATATTTTCTATATACACTGTATACGGCCCTGTATCTGTTGATTTAAATAAATGCCTTTCTCGTTTTACCGGTCTAAAGTTTTTTGTTTGTTTATCGTTGGATTTGTTTGCTTCTTTGTTTTTTAAAGTATTACCTTTTTTGTTTGATTGATTAGTAAGACTGTTAAAAAGTTTTCGAGATTAACTGTATGTATCACTTACTTTCTTTCCCAGTGAACTGTTTTTTGTACTACTAAAGTCTGTTCAAATTTAATTTACGCCTGATGTAAACAGAAGCAGGTGAACGCTAAAATTGAGCAGGGCCGTATTTTACTTTTCCGTCTAGCAAAAATGTAAAATAAAAGAGTGTAATTGTGAAATTATTTTTTTATTACGATAAAAACATATTTTGTAAAATAAAACTATAAAATAAATGCCATACACGGTCTCCCAGACTTTAGTGACATTTCTGGACGAAGATAGGTGAGCGATATAAACTACGTTAACTTGCAATACAAATTAATGTATTTGACTTTAAAAGAGATGCTTGCATTATATTTAGTTCATTACATATGTCTACTGTGATACAGATCATTAACACAATCATATTATAAAATTATATTGTACAGGGTGTCCAAATAATTGCAAATTCTTTAATAGCTAATATATATCTACTAAAAGCATTAAAAAAACTTTAAATATAAGAGGTATTTGAATTTGGTATTTGATTTAAAATTGTGCATCCTTAAAAGAAACCTTTTGTATTTTTGATAACTTTTGTTCTTTATTGTTCTTGTTCTACTAGTATTTAGATTAGACAACTTGTACTCTGTATTATAGCAATCTTCCTTACTTGACTTAGCACTATTCTGAATCGGATAAATTAGTTAGACTTGAAAGGCTATCTTCATTAATCAAAATTACAAGTGGTTCTACCTGAACCTCTATAATATTATCCAACTCCCACATTTTTACTTCAACTTTTTGGCGAACATGGTCGATACACTTTTTTCTATTTTTCTGGAGAAATTAATAATATTACTTCTTTAAAAATAATTTTAATGTCTCCATATTTAAATGTTGAGTTTTTATCTGCTACGTATTGTTTAACGTCAACCTAGATTAATTCAATAGGGTTAAGTTCACAATGATACGGAGACATGTGAAGTATTATGTTATTTTGCTGCTTCGCCATTTCATCTATTACATACCTATCATAATGATTATGTTGCTTACCAAGTTTTAGAAGTTGGATCTTAAGCATTTGGTAGTCGAATTCAATTTTTTTCCCTTATAGCCATTTTTAAATATCACCTTTTTTAGACGTCGTAGATATTTTTTCCATCTTTCTCGAATAATAATGCACGTATCTTCTAATTTTGGTAGGGTGTTTGAAAACCACTCTTTGAACGATTCTTCACACATTTCTTCATGGTAGTCACAGGATTTTTCAACTCAAATACATAAAGTGCATTAGAGACAAAGCCTTCTTCACTTCCAATATGGCATATAATGAGCTTATTTTACGCACATACCTGATGGGTTTTTAAAACCAGTTAAAAGTTCATCCAGAAAGGCTTGTCTGGATGAAAAAACCGACATATCGAAATATACTTTTGATTTGGTGTGGCCTGCGTTAATCCAAGTCTCATCAAGATAATATATTTTTTGCTTTTCTTCTCTGTACCGTTTTATTTTTTGTGGCGTAAGACGAAACAATTTCATTTTTGTCTAAAAGCAAACTATTTTTTCCTCGAGTTAAGGGTTTTGAAAAGCTTGTAAAATGTAGCTCGCTTAAAAGTAGACAAATATAGATCATCGTTGACTTCTTATAAAACCTTATCAATTGTTCGAAGTTAATTTCTAAAGAAGAATTGATGTACTTTGCACCTTATTGCATTTTTATCAAAATCATCCACAGAGCCACTAATTTGTTTATAACGTAGTTTTCTTTTTGGTTCAGAAAATTTATGAATCTGCCTATACTCCTTCATAACATTAAAAACAGTTTTAGTGCACATCCCTGTTTTATCAGCAACTCTTCTTTCAACATCATGTACCAACATATCAGGGTTCTATAAAATTTAATGCTTATAAATATTAAGAACCATTTCTTTAGTACGGATGATCAAATGTCCGTTTTTCAGTCGCTTTTTAGAAGGAGTAAAAACATTTTTCTGGACTTTATCTGCTGTGTCTGTGGAGGACATAGTGTAACGCAGCAATTACAAAATATAGTCAATTAAATGTCCATAAAATAGAGTAAAACATGTTCAAACCAACAACAACCACAAAAACAAAAAAATAAATAACACAATATATGTATATCTAAACTATAATATAATGAATTATAATCAATCAAACATACAAAATGTACAAACTAACCAACACGGTGAATGCTACCAAAACGCCGTTTATAATTATCCAAATTGAACTGTCTGACAAAAAATATTTGCGCGTCGTCTAAATGATTAACGACCGATTAACCAATAGAAGCACAAAAAAATGTCACGTGAGCTGTTGCTGGATGGGAGAAATTGTTTTGACGCGGCGTAAATGAAATCTGAATAGACTTTATCTGATTCGCTGTCCATTTCCACATCATTTTCAATTCCTTGTTCGCTCCTGCCAAATCCCATAGATTCATCCTACTTTTTAAGATCTGGCGGCTCACCATCACTCTCAGCATTCTTAATTTTATTTTTAGCTTATACTAAATTTTAAATACTTAAACAAAATTATAAAAACTAGTTTTAAATAATAAAGTACCGGATTTCTAATCGCCGTTCAATCGCACGTCTATTCTGTGTGAATATTTAAATTTAACTGAGGTTACAGAGTTATAAATGTTAATTATACACCTAATCTTAGCATTTTTATGTATTTTCTCTATGATCCACCATTTTAAATACCAGATTTTCTTGATTTTATTGATATAATTAAAGAAATTGTTAAAAGTAAGTAGATTATCTAATTGGATACCTAAATACTTTATAGTATTACGATTATTTCACCATTTATTTGTAAATTAACATCATTAATATTCAGTAAGCTATATTTACTTTAAGTTGTAAAAATAAGTGCCTTTTGTTTTAGTTACATTTAACAATTTATTAATTCGAAAATACTGAGCAACTTACTTTAGTATTTAATTAATTTTTTCGATTCCAATCATTAAATTTATATTAGAGCATGCTAGCAGAGTGTTATCAGCAAAGAGATTAATGAATGCACAATCAACAAACAGTCAAATATAATTCAAATACAGTATAAAAAGCAGACGCCCTAGTACATTTCCTTGCGGAACCGCTGTGTCAATGTTAATCACGGGTGATATCTGATTGTTAAAACGTACTTTTTTTTTTTGATGGGGACATCCCAGTTATTTAACACATCAAAAATTTTGGTAGTACTCCCGTTTGCATAAGAAAAGTGCATGGTCCATTAAACACAATTTTTGTATTTTAGTATCCTCCATTATATTGGGAATCCGAGGCTCAAAAACAGCAAAACAAAAATAAAACTAATTCATCAAAGCCGGAGCCAGCTGGAAACAAGAAAAGAAAGAGACAAACAAACGATGTAACAAACGATGTAACAGACGATGATCTAAATACTGCTAAGAAATCAACATTAGCCTATGAATTACCTATAGATATCAAAGAATTAATAGACAAGGACACAATTAATTACAACAATTGGGTAGAATGTAGTAATGAACTTCAAAATGGAAGATTAAAATTCCGGGAAAAAGTTGAAGAAATATTTATATGTATTTGTTGTCAAGATCTCGTGTACGAGCCCGTTACACTTGAGTGTAAACATAATTTTTGTAAGGTAAGTTGTTTATGTTTTTTAAGAAAAGTGATGTATTACATTGTTGATATAAATAACTTAAGTGAATTATCATCATTGATAGGCAAAATTTTTGTCTCTTTGGGTAAAAAACTATATTAAAAACAAAACATTTCGTCTGCTGGCTCTAAGTGATTAATTAATTACGGGAGCGGCACTTGAAAAGAGGTAAAAATGCAGAAATATATGTGTTGGAACAAACGCATATTTTTTATATTATTGTTCGGAAACTTATAAGTATACAAAATAACTACAGGAGACGCATTTTTGTTAAGATTTTAGCGCAGACGCACTCAGAACGTTATTTAAATTTCCGATAAAATGTAACTATATGGAACATGAGATTTTAATCAGTCAAATAAGTGCTAATTAAATGTAGAATTAAAAACAGTCGTATAACGACAGCAAACGGTGTTGAAATTATACATCCCACTTTCTTTAGCGCCTAAAAAAGCCGTTACGTGCCGGAGTAGAACAGCACATACCACATAATAGAGAGTTAATAGTGGTAATTCTGTAATTCAATAAGTTTATTTTTAACGGGTGTTAAATTTTACGATTTTAACATAAATTGTAATTCTGTAAAAATAAATTTAACGCCTACGTTAAATTTATAGAAAAAATTCAAATTTGCCATAAAAATTTGGTTAAGTTTTAAGGTCTGTCAAATAAATGTCATTCCTCTTGTCATATTTATTATATCTGCCTGTTTTTGCACAAGAATATTGAAAAAAGTAGCGGCCGAATTTATTTTATAAAGTATTTGGTAGGCCATCAATTTTCAATATAAGCAAAACTAACCCCAGTAACCTTATAATAGTGCCTTTCTACGACAAAGCAATTACTAACTACAAAAATATACACTATAAAAAATATAATTTCTAAATAGAATTTGTGTAATTTCAACTGTTAAAATTACTTGAGTACTTTTAAAATGGTTAATTTTCATGATTTTCTTGCATTTTAAGTTAAATTAAACATTCAAAAGTCATAAGTGGTAATTCTGTAATTCAATACGTTTTTTTTTAACGGGTGTTAAATCTTACGATTTTAACATGAATTGTAATTCTGTAAAAATAAAATTAACGCAAACGTTAAATTTTCAAAAAAAATTAACATACGTTAAAAGTAGTTCATTTTTGCAATAAAAGTATGGTTAAGTTTTAAGGTCTGTCAAATAAATGTCATTCCTTCTGTCATATTTATTGTATCTGTCTGTTTTTGCACAAGAATATTGAAGAATGTAGCGGCCAAATGTACTTTATAAACTATTTGGTAGGCCATTAATTTTCAATACAAAGAAAACTAACCCCAATAACCTTATAAATAGTACCTTTCTACGGCAAATCAATTACTAACTACAAATAATTTATGTACACTATAAATAAAATATAATTTTTAAATAGAATTTGTGTAGTTTCAACTGTTAAAATTACTTGAGTACTTACAAAATGGTTCATTTCATGATTTTCTTGCATTATGAGTTGAATTAAACAATTAAAAGTCATAATTTCTTATATGTTAAGTTTTAAAGCCTACTAATTGAGGGGCCCAGAAGTAAAAGGGTTTAAGTGCAGTTTTGGTAGTTCCGAGATAAATGGCTTTAAAGTTAACTTAAATTTCAAAATTCCAGGAATAAGTTTAGGAAACTATGTAAATATTTTAGTTTTATTTAAAGACAAACATTACAAAGAACAAAGACTTTTTTTAACTTTCAATTTTTTTGTTTTTTTTGCAAAAATGCACTTGAATCATTACACATGGTAAAAATTTTTTGGTGGTGAAATGATTCAAGTGCAATTACTGCATTAAACTTAAACTTATTTCTAAAAACAAAACACAAAATTTATTATTCGTAATCAGAATCTATTAAGTTGTTATCTTCATCGCTTTCTTCCTCTTTTTGGCTTTGTTTCTTTTTTCCTTTTTTTTCTGATGCCTCTCCTCCATCGTGCTTTATTCCTTCGTAAAAGGTGTGGTGTCTTGGCGGAATGTAATCCATTAAGGTTATCAAATTTTTGTACTTGGCAGATTTAATTTTTATTGAAGTTTTGTTCAAAGGCTTCAATATTGAAAAATTAAAAGACGGACGTCCAACTTACAAAGTTGGCATCTTACAACTGAAGAAATCTACATCAATGTTTAATGTTCTTTTGTATTTAAACGATAGTCGTTCAGTTTTGTAATAAGCGAACCAACAAATTTCCCTCCATTTTAAGGGGTGACCGTCACTATCTTTTTTAGGATCTTTCATTATTTCATTAAAGGGCGAAAAAGAAAAAAAAATCGTCTTTGTTCATTTCATATACAACAAATTTGGCAGATGTGCCTCTTATTACAGTCTCCCAATCTGCTGGGATAAAAACTTGAGGAATTTGCCTTTTTTTCTTCTCAATTAAGCCAAAACTACGGTCACACTCCATATAGGTGTGACCGGGTTCAAGGAACTTGTGGTGAATCTCAGTTATATTTGTGGCTTGAACAATAAAAGAAAATAGTTTAGAAATGTTCTTATTCTTATTCTGTCCCCCACACGAATCACTGTATGCAACAATCTTTGTTACTGTTGATGGAAGACTTCGAATAAATTTTATTAGGTATGAGCCTATCTCCTGCGAACCCCTGGATGCAACAGTTTCGTTCCATATAAACATATGACTTTTTCCAGTCAGTAAGTCAAAGACACAGAAATTATGTGTCCATGGTTGACGGAGGTAGAAGACTTTAGAAGTTGTTAACAGCGGCGTTGGCAATGCCTGTTGCAAATCAAAACAAATTACAGCAGTATTTTTGGAGTTTTTGTTTTCAGCAATATCAGCTTTCTTGGCGTCTGTTGCTTTCTTGGCTTTCCTTTGGTGTAGCTCGAGGTCTCGCTTGGCATTTGTAATCTCGTCTTCATTTGTGGAGTGTTTTACTAGATTTTGTAAATTGTCACAACGACTGCAAGTGTCACTATAAGGCTTGTGAAACCTTAAATTAAATTCCGTATTGAAAATAAACCTATAATAGGACTCTTTTACTGGTAACTCTTGTTTTTCAATACAAAACTCCTCATATAATTTGTACATCTTACTGATACTTAATTCGCCTGAGATATACTTTGCGTTTAGATTGTCTTTTCTAGAATAGTGGCTACTATATTTCGGGAACATATTTATGTGGGAAATGACAAAATTTTTGGATGATTCCTTTATTTTATTTGGAGGTTCCTTTTTGCCACGCTTGTCAGGTTCGGTCATGTTAAGATCTGTAGTTTTTTTGCAAACAGTTTGAAATCGTCGCACAGAAATGTTAAAAGTGCGTAAAAAAAATTGTTTACAAACTCGTTTTCCCACTAAGGTTATAACAGTGCTATAGCTTTTATTTGCAACAGCTGCGACTGTATGTCGTGGGATTTTTTTAATGCAGGAAGATAAAAAAGCAGTTTGCAGGTCGTAGGAAGGAAGTTCATAAAAATTTCTAAACAGCTCTTGCCTTTGGGCCTCACTAATATTGTCATTGCACTGATATCTACAAACGTGAGGATATTCTTTTAGTTCTTTTGCTTTCTGTACCCTATTTTTCCTTTCAATATACTCCTTTCCTTCTGTCCGCAATCTTTTAGCACTGTTAGCTTTCCACTCTTTCGGGCGCCGTTTTCTTTGTCTAGTTTTTGTAGGAGTGACATGTATGTATTCATTTTCATGTTCATCGTCTGGTACTACTACTTCAACTTCTTCTACTTCTATGTCAGGAACATAGTCTGAATCCTCATCAGTCTGGAATGGATCAGCTTCTGTAAAAACAAAATAAAATTTATCTAACCCAACTTTTGATTAATCCTAAAGTTATTTTACAATTTAATCTTTTCTACGAAATTAATGTACTTACCATCACTTTCCCAGTCAGTACTCATTTTGCTTATCAATGTAACACTATCAACACTGCAAAATATGTGTTTTGAACTAACAAAAGTACCTGCGAAAACACATTAACACACGTGAAACATTAAAAATATCTGGCATCTACAGACATCTCTAGAAGTAAAACGGTTCATGTGTACTTGAATCATTTTAAAAATAGCCGACATCTACAGACATCTCTGGAAGTAAAACGGTTCATGTGCACTTGAATCATTTTACCACAGACTTTATTGGTTAATATTTTGATACGTTTTTCTAGTCTACACGAGATGTCGCCAGGGAACGTAAAATACACTTGAAGCATTTTACCTCTAAGTAAAGGTCTACTTTAGGTGTGATAATCTGCACTTAGACCGTTTTTTTAAAAAGTGCACTTGAACCCTTTTACTTCTGGGCCCCTCAATTAGTACCTGTTAATATATAATATAATGTATAATATAATAAAATTAACACATTTATGTTAAATTTTTAACATATTTCTGCTTATAGAATAGATTTTTGCGGCACAAATGAACTATTACGTTAATTATGACAAGTTAAAATTTTTAATGAATTTACAGAATTGCTTTTCATATTTAACATACGTTATATTTTTAACGTCCGTTAAATTTTAACATATTCGTTACAGAATTACCACTATTGACAGCTAAGCATACGCATTAATATTTTATTAAGAAATAGTGCTAAACAAGAATAAGGTATTTCCATATTTTTTGAAAATAATTTTTTATTTAACTCGAAACATATTGTTTGGGAATAATAACGTTTCCAATACCTGGTACTAATTAACTTTAAAAACCATTAAACCATTATTCCGTTTGCTTTTAAAACTTACTATAATAATTAAAACACAGTCACGGCCCTAATTAGTAAACTTTATTTATTCCTTTGATCTATTTCTGTAAATAATTAATAAACGTCTGATTGAGCTCCGTCCTGTCACAGCTACCGTTCCGCAACCGCTATTTTTTTTTCTCTTTTTTTTTTTTTTGTTCAGGGTGGGGCTTTGAAATAGTTTACGACAATTGTTATTAGTTTTCGTTATTTGACCAAAGGCTGACATGGAATCAACATTTCAAA